ATATAAATATATATGTATTTATATGTATTTATATAAATATAAATATATATGTATTTATATGTATTTATATAAATATAAATATATATGTATTTATATGTATTTATATAAATATAAATATATATGTATTTATATGTATTTATATAAATATAAATATATATGTATTTATATGTATTCATATAAATAAATATATTTATATGTATTTATATATATGTATATATATATACACATATATATACATACATACATGTGTGTGTGTGTGTGTATATATATATATATATATATATATATATATATATAAAGTAATCTCTACATCCAACATGGGCTGGAATTTACAACCCCAAGGTCAAGAACCACGTGCTCCACCAACTGAACCAGCCAGGTGTAATTTTGATGTAAATGGCTAGGGAGCTAACCTCTAGAAGCTTGAAGAAAGGACTCTGAAGTCAGGAACCAGCCTCTGGCTCAAATTCAAACCCACTAAGGCATTTACTTGCTGTGTGATTTTGGGCATGTGATTTAACCTCTCTGGGCTTTGGTTTCCACATCTATAAGTAAACCTCTGTCTCAAGATGTCTGTCACCTTTTGGAATCCTAGACTACTGAATCTTTGGATGGAAAAGGAAAGGGGACAGGAGCCAACATTTGGTGGAGCCCCTAAGGTATGCCAGGCTTGTGATCACACCCCCACTAGGTCTCCTTCAGCTAAGTTTTTCTCCTTCCCAAGTCAAAGAGCCTGTGCTACTCTGTTTGGGCTTCTGAAAAATGCCTTCAGGGCAGAGATTTCTGACCCATGTTCTAACACAAAATGTGCATGGTGGATTAATTTTGTTCAACACACCTTGGTTGTTTTGTGAAAGGAAAGTCTATGCAACTGAGTTCACTCATTCCCAGCAAGCATTTTTTGAGCTCTACTGTGCTCCAGAGCCTGTGTGCAATGCTGGGGACCCCATGGTGGGCCATCTTTGTGGAGCTGGGCACACTGGCACTCCTCGCTGGCCGATCGTGTCAACTAATTCGCAAGCAGCTGGAGCAGACACTGCCCCGCTCAGCCTGGGTTAGGAGAGGCTGAAGGGAAGCCATCAGAGTCTGCTCTGGGAGCTGAGCCGAACTCTGCATCCCAGCTTGGCTGCTGGGAAATGAGAGAGACTCAGGCCAGCTGAATTCAAAACACCTGCCTGAGATAAATAGCAAAATAATAATAATGTGATATTTAAACACTGGCGTCCAGACTTCTTAGCCACTGTGCATGCTTGTAGGGAGAAGCCTGAAGCAATGGAAAGATCACACACACCCCCTTAAACAGAAATACTGAGACATGAACACAGGTTTCCTCAACATGTGGTCCCCAGGCCACTGGCCACACAACCATCTCAGGGAGCTTATTTTAATTTTGGGCTCCTGTTCCTTTTCCAAATTTACTGATTCAGAACCCTGAGGGGGCGTGCTTATAAACTGTGTATTTAACAAGATCTGCAAGCCTCCCCACTTCCCCTCACAGTGAGCCGACTCGAATCTGAGAATTTCTGGAATGTCGCTACAGCTAAATCTGTATAACTTATGCAGTAGATGTGTCTCCCTCCTTTCTGGTCTTAGTGGTAATAAAAATAATAATTGGCAATATTTACTGAGCACTCTCTATCTGCCAAGGAGTGGTAGATCAGGCATTTTACACACAACTCATTTTATCTTCACAAATACTCTATTTTGGTCCTATTGTCATCCCCATTTTCAAGATGGTGAAACTGAGGCACAGAGTTTGGTGACTTGCCCAAGGTCTTACTCATTAGGAATACAGCCAAGATTCAAACTCAGATCCACGGCTCATGCAAGAAAGGATCCGAATTCCTGTAAACACAAAACAAAATAAAAGCAACATGTTGGTGGCAGCTGCTCTGGGGTGCTGGGAACAAAAAGTTTAATTTTTGTCTATGTGCCCTTCTAATTTTCCCTACAATAAATGTGTATTTGTTTTTAGTATGAAAACAGACCGGCGTTGATATTTGTTATTCTGCACTTATTTGCTGTACAAATTCAGGTAAATATATAATATCATTGAAGTTCAAGGTTCTCATCTGTAAAATGGGTATAATTTGTGTTATTGTCAGACTGAACTAAGATATTTTAAATTAGAGAGCTCAATGCAGTTACATAAAAACACATTAGGTCCCTTCCTTATTTATTTACCTCTACTACTCTCCGACCCCCCAAAAAAGGCATCATTGTTTTCCACTAATGACTGGAGCTACAATTGTACCCTGAACCCCAGAGCCTTCCCACCCCGAGTGTGGTCCTGGACTAACAAACATCATGAGCATCCCAGAAAGCTTGTTAGACTCTCGGTCCCCCACCCAGGACCTACTGAAGCAGAATATGCATTTTAAGAACTGCACTGGTTCTCATGGAGGCATGGTCTAGAAGATTGTTCTCCAAAAAGGGGAGTGTCACACAGGGAGTTAAATCACTGATGTTCTGGGAAGCAGGAAGAAAATATTAGAACTTCTACTTATGTTGATCTTCCATATCCTTTGTTAACATCTGGTATTTGTGCATGTTTTATGATGTATTCAGTAGATTAGTAGTGAGTACACACATACACAGTTTGTAAGTAAACATTGTCCTGAAGGAGGGGACCCTTTGGAGGGGATCCAGAGTTCTGCACACTCAGATAACATTGGCCTGCCACACTTCCCACAGCAACTTCCGGGAAGTTGGTTAGGAAGGGAGATGCGCCTCCCATGCTCTGGCTGTTTCCTTAACCTTTTGGTGCTACTTCTAACCTTTACCCTCCCTGGGAAGGGAGGATATCCTACCCTGCTGGGTAAATTGGTAGCTCACCTTTTTTCCCCCTATCCCTCAGGGAGAGCACATTTCACTCCTTCTTCCCATGATGTGCACTTTAAAGGGGCTTCTCTGTCTCTATGGGGTACCCCATCCACCACCACGCCATCAAGTCTCCCACCTGCCCTGTCTCCATTGTCCTTGCTCAGCAAAATCCAAATCCCAGTGAACCCCAACCCTCAAGCCGGCTCGGTGCCTGCTCAGGAAGCAGGATGCAGCCGAGAAAACACATACCCAGGCTGACAGCACTCTCCTTAGATTTATGGCCGTGAAAGTCAGATGGACCCTAAATTCTGCCTGCCTCCCCCCACATCCCTACCAAGTTTCCCTCCTTCCATTACTCTCCCTTCCCTTGTTTCTCAACACCCCCCCCCCAGTCCACACACACCCCCCCACCCCCATCCCCAACCTCAGATCGGGACCTTCGTCCCATGCTCCACATGTTGAGAAGGGGCTGTCCTTTGCCAGGGCATGCCTGGCCTGGATGTTGCATTTAGATACTTCAGTCCTCTGGAATCAAATCAGCTCCTCTCCGGTGTTGTGTTCTTTCCAGCACATGCCGCTGCTGGCTCTCTGTCAATGTTGAATCCAAACACCACGGTTTTAGAAACTGCCCTTTTTCCAAGCACCTTATTAATCCTCAAAGCACTTGTGAGCTTTAAAAAATGGTGCCAGCAGCATGTGACATGTGTGACAGGCCACGGCTTGCACTCCCCACTTTCCACACCAGGAAAACTGGGACAGCCAGGCAGAGTTCCTGAGCCAGCGTCATACAATGAGTCAAGTCAGAATTGGAGGGGCTTACGCCTTCCTAAAACCCACTGCCTCTTTGGGACTGTATTAAAATAAAAAGGAATTTTAAAAAATGCAAAATACAAAGACTTCTCCCCTGCCCCCTCCCCCCAACATGAGTTTGAATGCTGTGGTCTGGAAGATGTCTACTAACATAAGCTAGTTTCAAGGCCCAGAACCCAGGATGAGAGCTAGAGACACCAGGGACAGGTCAGTGTTTTTATCCAATGAGATCTTTTAAAATAACAAGAATGACTCCAATCCGGGCTGGCTGTTCAGTTCTCCCAGTGGCTGTCAAATGCCAGGGAAGCTGGGCTTTGCGGAATGGGCTTTGCAGAAACACTGAAGCCAATTTAAAATGCCTGTTTCTAGGCCCCCAACTAGACCTACAGAATCCAAATCTCTAGGGCTGGATCAGAAAATCTTGATTTTTTTTAAAGACACCCCTTAGCTGCTCCTGATGCACACACAGGTTTAGGAGCCCTTGAGTCCTTGTCATTATGAATCTATTTATATCCTAAAATGGCAAAGCTGGCAGGGACTTAGAGATGCTTTAGTCCAACCCCTCATTTTACAGATAAGAGAATGAAGTCTTGGAGAGATGTGGCCTGTCCAAGTTCCTAGACCCGGGCTGAGTTAACTGTGGCCCATTTAACTTTGGGTTCCAGTAGCAGGATCTAATTTCAGGATCAAATTGGCACCACAAAAATACACTTGAATATTAACTTTTTAATGGCTAAAAAGCAGAGCCAGGTTTTCTTATTTAGATTCTCCTATCCAGTAAAGTAGGTAATTTAAATCGTAAGATTAGTCATCCTCGCACCCTATAAAACTCAATCAAGTGATTTCCATCTTCAATAGGGGAATAATGCATTTTATTTTTCGGCATTGGCCTTTAAGTATTGAGCAGTATTGGTCCTGAAATCGGGTCTCTACCTCCGTATACAGCTCCCAGGAATATTTGCTCACCGTCTTTCATTGGCCCGGTCAGTTAGATGGATGCCTGTGGCTGGCTGGTGTCTTTCAAACACTGAATGATCAGGTGACCTCCTTAGTTGGACCTTGAAAGCCACTCACCTGAAACAAAGAAAATGCAAATGCCTTCTGTGTGTGCTTTCTCCCCGTGGTAGGTTTGCAAACAGGGGTTATACACCCGATGTAGAGAGAGAAAAAAAAAAGCTCATGTCCCTTGGCCCAGGGAACAGAGTAGCTGACAGAATAAACATGCTATCTTAGGGAGTATAAGAACTAGGAGGGCAGCTGCAGCAGTTACTACCTGATGTCCCTACCCTACCGAGGTCTCTCCCTTTAGGGATTTGCTCCTACCGTCTTGGCTTGAGCTGTGTAGCCCAGGCCTGTGTATTTTGCTGCTGGCAAGCTGTGTGCTTTCCTGGGCATCTGCCTCCTTAAACCCACCAGAGCCCGCTGGGAGCTTTGAGCCCAGCACGGTGCCTGGAACTTTGTGGGCATTCACAAAAAATATTTGTTGAATTTTTGAACTGGACTTACCCTCCTCTCTGATATCCGTATGTTTCTTGAGCTGCTTCCAACTGAATAGCTGATGCCAAAGTGAAATCGACTGGATTTTTCTCCAACAAGCATTGAGTGCCTGCTGTTTGCTGTAGCTGTATTAAGATCAGTGAAATAGAGGCCCTCCGTGCCAAGAGGCTGTAAATTGAGGGGGAAATGCACACAGACATTCACGTCATCCTTACATAAGGTAGCCTGTGATAAACGCAATTCAAAGAAGTGCAAAGAGGCAGGCCGCACAGTGGGAAGATTCCTGCCTGACTTCCTCCTCTTTATATAGATTTTTAACAGCTTTATTGAGGTACCACTGACATTAAAAATTTTATGTACTTAAGATGCATGACCTGATGTTTTCATATGCACATACATTGTGAAATGATCACCACTATCAAGCCAATTAACATATTTATCACCTCTACACAGTTACCGTTTGCACGTGTCTATTGAGAAGATTTAAGATCTATCCTCTTACAAATGTCAAGTATACAATACAGTATTGTTAACTCTCATCACCGTCTCTGTATTAGACCTCCAGAACGTATTTATCTTGCATAACTGCAACTTTGTGCCCTTGACCCATATCGTTCCATTTCCTCTCCCCGCACCCCAGCCCCCCCACCGCCAGCATTCTTCACTCTGCTTCTATGAGTCTGACTATTTCAGATTCCACATATAAATGAGATCATGCAGTATTTCTTGTTCTGTGTTTTGCTTAGTTTGCCTAGCATAATACCTTCAAGGTCCACCCATGTTGTCACAAAGGGCAGGATTTCTTTCTCTGTTAAAGGTTAAACAATATTTCATTATATATATACATATATATATTTCATTATATATATACATATATATTACATTATTGTTATATTATTACATATTACATATTACATCATTACATGTCCCTTTATCTGCCTGAGGACACTCAAGTTGTTTCCACATCTTGGTCATGGTGGATAACAATGCAGTGAACTTGGGGGTGCAGACACCCTCCTAACTCAGGGCAGGTTGTTTATCGCCTGTTGCCCCTTCTCCAGACAGTAAACTCCTCAAGGGTAGGGATCTTTGTTACTGTTCGCTGATCTTGCCAAGCACCGAAAACAGTAGCCAGAACATAGTAGGTGATTTAAAAATATTTCTAAATGATTTGGATTCAGATCCTCTTTCTGCTGGTTATCAACTACATGACCTAATCAATGCTTTTTTTTGGGGGGGGGGGCTTCAGTGTCCTGATCAATGAATCTAGAAAAATGATAGTTGAGAGGATCAAAGTTTTTAAAACAAGTGGTTTTCAACCAATGGCATTAATCTTACTATGATCATCATATCCTCTTAGTGATAATATTTTTAAAAGGCACATATCTCAGGAGAGATGATTAATTATAACTGACACACTGATTCTATCTTGTAACTATCCATTAGGTTACTTTCAGCCAGAAGTCACAGAAAACCAATTTGCAATGGCTTGATTTTTTTTTTCCTCGTATAATAAGAAGTCTGGAAGTGAATCTACAACATCAGAGCTGGCGTCTCTATAATTCTCTTGACCAGGGATTGACAAACGATGGCCCACAGGCCAAATCAGGCTTGCCAACTGTTTTTGCAAATAAAGTTTTATTGGAACACGGTTATGCTCCTATGTTTACATATTATCTTCGGCTGCTTTTGTGCAACAACGGCAGAGTTGAGTAGTTGTAACAGAGACTATATGGCTTGAAAAACCTAAAATATCTGCTTGTTGGCCTTCACAGAAAAAGTTTCTGACCCCTGCCCTTACCATGTCTCAATGTGCTCTGGAAAGCACATTTGCTTTCAGGACAAGGTGGGAAAAGTGGTGTGAGCCCCACCCGGCCCCAGCTGACTTTCTTTTTCACCTCACAGGTCAGAACTGGGTCACATGGTGACCTTTTGCAGAAAAAGAGTCTCGGATACTAAGAGATGGATAAACCTGAGCTTTCCAGTAATGGAGCCACTAGCCGAGTGCAGCTATCAAGGACTTGACATGTGATTGGACCCAAGAGAGACGTGCTGTAAGCATGAAACATACAGCAGATTTCACTACCAAAAAGAAGGCAAACCGTCTCATTAATAATTTTGTATTGACTGCATGCTAAAATGCTAATATTTTAGATATATTGAGTTAAATATACCATCAAAATTAATTTTACAAAATTTAAATATACCGTCAAAACCAGTTGCACAAAAATTAAAACATACTCTCGAAAGAAATCATACAAAAATTAAAACATACCCTCAAAATAACTTTCTGCTTTTTTAATGGGGTCGCCTCACAGCTGTGGCTCTCATTCTGTTTCTCTTGGACAGCGCTGTGCTGGGCTAATCATGACCCATTGCCCGAGGCTGGGCAAATTGTTACCTTAACCACATAGGCATTCTGTCAGCAAGGAGAACGGGGGAGGAGTGGGGAGGCCAGTTTGGACAGTAACTAACAGGGTTTGCCATACTCATTTGTTTAACCAAAAAAAGAAAAGAAATGAGAACCCAATCCGTGGCAAGCACTGACAGATGCTAGCATACACACGGTCCAGCCATCATGGACCGGAAAAGGTAACATTGGACCTGGGCCTTGTAGAATGGATTGGACTTCGAAAGGCGAGTGACAGGTAGTGTTGGGTAGGATGAGCAGGAGGGCATTCCAGATTCCAGTCTGAGGGTGGAGAATGTAAAGATGACTGGGGGGCGGGGAGGGGGCAGGTAAATAGGGAACAGGATGAGGAGGAAGGTTTTTACCTCCACCCATTCTCCTGTTCTCCCTGCTGTACCTTAATCCAGGCAAACTCACCTTCTCTCCATTTCCCAAACATATGCGCATTCCCACCCCTGAGACTGAGATGTCCTTCCTCATTTTCCTCTCCCCCGGGGGGGGGGGGGGGGTTGCTCAGTCAAATCCCATTATATTTTCAGGCTCAGCACATGCATCCCCTGTCCAGGAAAACTTCCTTGACCCCTAACCCCAGAAGTTAAGCTCTACTTCCTTTGTGCTCTAATAAAAAAATAATAATAGCATTAAAGTAGTAATCATGAACATCTGTTGAACACTTATTACGTCTCTGGTGTCATGTTTATACTGTATATGAATTAGATTATTTAAGTTGTATGACCACCTTATTAAATAAAAATTGTATCCCATTTTACAGATGAAGAGAATGAGGGTTAGAAAAATTGATGGGTCCATTTCACATGTCCTGAGCTAAGACTGAAGGCTACAAAAAAAAAAAAGTAGGAGGCTTCCAGGTGGATTAAGGGTAGAAAAAAGACATTTTAGAGAACAGGGTGTTTCACCAAAGCAGGTGATTCCCTAATAGGAGAGGCAGACGTGGCAGGAATGAGACCCAGGGAAAGAGGAAGAAGCAAGTAAAGATCAGACAGGGAGGAGCTCACATGTCACACAAAGATGCATGAATTTTACCTTTTAGATGACTGGGAACCACCGAAGGAGTCTACACAAACGGCATCACTCAGTTTGCATTCTGGAGACAGGAGAACTTTTAGGAGGGGACCCCACCCATCCAGACGAAAGATGATGAGTTGTATCAGAAGGACAGTAGCAGCAGGGGTGCCTGGGTGGCTCAGTCGGTTAAGCATCTGACTTTGGCTCACATCATGATCTCACGGTTTGAGGGTTTGAGTCCTGAATCCGGCTCAGCACATTGATGGTGTGGAGCCTGCCTGGGATACTCTCTCCATCTCTGTCTCTCTGCCCTTCCCCCCAATTCACACTTTCTCTCTCTCTCTCTCTCTCTCTCTCTCTCTCTCTCTCTCTGTCGAAATAAAATAAACTTAAGGGGTAAAAAAGGACTGTAGCAGCAGAAACAGACATTTGGGGGAGCTTTGAGAGGCATGACCCTGGTAATTTGTACCCTGCGATAAGAAGATGAAGGTTGCACCCCCACTTCAGGTGTGGCTATGTCACTCACCTCATCTAACCCCACAGCCTTCTTCAAGTTAGGTGTCCACATCCGGATGAGGGCCCCGAGACCCAGGCAGATAAGCAGCTTGTTCAAGGTCACACCGAGTATATGATAGAGGCGAATAACCTGTCTGGCCTTTCCAAAGCCCAAGATCTTGTTGCGACCCCGCATCGCCTCTAACCTTAAACTAGGAAATTGTTCTCTGTCCTCATCTCTCCTTGTTTGTCAAACATTAAATATGAGGGACTCATTCATTTAGAGTGTTCAAATTCCTCACTAATCTGCAGAGTACCTAGCTATCTGGGTTCTTCACTTGATATGCATTTTGTGTCTTTTGGGTAAATACCATGTTTGCAAATGGATAGCAGTCCCCCTATTTTGTACATACTCGTGCCTTTAATGGTAAGAAATTAAGGGCCAGAGACGTCCAGTAAATTATTCAAGATCCTACCATCAGTAATGAGCAGAACTTGGGTTCGAACTCACATCTGTCTTATTCCATGTTCTTGCTCTTAAATACTACACTCTCCAACTTCCGAGATTAAAGGATTAGGTCCAGCCTACAGAGGGGAGAACCTGGGAAAAGACTGACAAGGAAGACACTAGTTTTTTGATTCCCCATTACCTTTTTCACCTACCCGCCAGGCACTTTGCCCTTAATTCTGCAAAATGCAGAGATAAAAGTATTTGTTTCATAAGGATACTGTAATCCATGCAATTAGCTCATGCACACAGTAGGTGTTTGATGAAAGGAAACACTATCTTTTATAATTTAACCACTAGCTGCCCCTTCAGTTGTATAGGCTGGCTTTGCTCTGGCTTTGAGCCAACATTTCTGCAAAGGTTGACCCTTCACTGACTCCTACATGAAATTCAATTGTTCAATCATGGCTTTTGCAGTCTGGGTAAACTCTTTGTGAGGAGACAGTGGATAGGGTGTACTATTTCCAGGAAACAGCTTAGAAAGCCTCCCATAGATGTAGTGAGGATGCATCCTAATCAGGGTGAGCCCAGAGAATCCATGTCTGCTTACAAACTAAAGCAGATACATACAATGGAACATTACTCAGCCTTAAAATAGAGGGAAATCTTGTCATGCTACAACAGAGATGAACCTTGAGGACAATGATAAGTAAAATAAGCCAGTCAGGGAAAGACAAATACTACAAGATTCCACTTATAGAAGGTATATAAAGTAGTCAAATTCA